GAAGGGCGTCAAGTTGGGCTTGAAGAGCCGCAGTCGCGGCTTTCTGCTGAGCCAGGGCCTGGTCTTTAGCCGCCAAGGCGTTGTCACGAGCCTCGATTTCCACAAAGGCATCCTCCAGTTGTTGTTCACGTTCGTGCATTTCATCCAGCATCCCCGTGACCGTTTGACCATCGTCAATATCCTTGGCATTTGCCATATCCATATTGATCGAGAGTTGACCTTGGTAGACATCGGTGGTGTCTTCGATCACATCGTCCAAAAACTCCAGCGCTTCCTCCACCTTGGTCGACTGATCGGAGGCCTCAATAGCGCGTAGTGTGTTGGTGCACCATACCAAACACTTACGACGAGTCGCCTGGATCTCTGATTTGGGAATCCATTTACCCAAGACTCGATCAGCTTGCGTATTGGTAAGTTTGCACAGGTGATGAATCAAGAACGGAACTATCCCTCTCAACACTTTTGAGCTAACTGACCGTACTTCTTGCGGCATACAAAGATGTAAGAGCCTTCCATTTCTCCAGGAAGGATCATCAGGAAGAGTGGTCCTGCTTTATGGCGATCAATATCGTTCTTCAGTTTGCGATTGGTTGCTTCAGCCAGCTTGCGTTGTGCCGGGGATAGATCTTTGAGAAAACGACGATTTGGGATGGGTCCCGGAATACATCTACATTGAGGGTGACGAACAAGTCCTCCTGGAGGCACTGGAGAAAGGAAAGCTACGGGTGATCAGCGATGGCTCCTTCAAGCAACAAGTGGGCACAGCCGCTGTCCAGCTACAAACTCGACGGGGGGGGCATGTCATCTGGATCAAGTGCCGTACACCTGGTAAACAAGAGGATCAGAGTGCATACCGGAGTGAACTTATCGGTCTGTTAGCTGGTATCTTGGTGGCTTCTTGGTTCCGCCTACGCCTACAGTCCCTCGCCAAGCCACGAGTCCGTGTGGCGTGTGATGGGATTGCCGCGCTTCGCCAGGCCTTCTCGACTTGGCCGCTGTCCCCCACCGCCCCACACTTCGATCTCTTGTCCTCCATCCGCGAGGCCCTCCGAGTTTCCAAGATATCCTGGGCCAAACAACATGTGGGTGGCCACGCTGACCGAACCAAGACATGGCGACAGATGTCTTGGTGGGAACGACGGAACTCCGAGGTGGACGACATTGCCCAGGGCTACGCCGACGAGCTGATCGCCACCGAGGACACGATCGCCACCAATCCCAAGTTCTTCTCCGAACCCTGTGCGATCTACATCGACAACAAGAAGGTCTCCTGCCTGGCCTTGGAATCGGTGGACAAAGCCGTTGTCCTGCCGGAATTGATGGAATACTGGGCAGCCAAAGGCCGCCTCGCTCCCGAACACTTCCGATCGGTGGACTGGCCGATCGTGCACCGAGCGATGAAGTCTCTGAAGCCCGCCGAACAGCACTTCATCACAAAACACACCGTTGGGATGTGCGGCGTCGGCAAGTTCCGTAAACGATGGGGCCTCGACTCCAAGAACCGATGCCCCTTGTGCGGCCTGGAGGAAGACCACCTACATGTCCCCCGCTGCCCTTCCGACCGGGCCAAGACCCAGTGGCAGCTCCTACTCCAAGAACTCCAAGAATGGTTCCAGTCCACCACCACTGCTACGCCCATCGCCCAATTCCTTGGGGCCCTCCTTCGCACCATCCGCACCCCTCACAACCAGCCTCAACCCTCCAGATGTGAACAATTGAGGCTGGCAAGGACTCCTGGTCTGGTAGGTCTACCGGGGCTGTGCCCGTGACAGTGACGTAGGCTGTCCATGGGTGAAGGTTGACCGAGGCCCGTTGGACGTCCCCGGGAAGGGTGCCCGTCCAAGTGTGGTGAAGATCATAATAATAACTGAAACATTAATCGATTAAATGCTAGGTAGCGCAAACAATTGCCGGTGGGATGTTCGGCTGTAAAGGTCAAGTACTGTGGAGCGGCGAGTCAACAACAAGTTTGAACCATGTGAGGCGTCTGAAAAATCAGAAGTTGCTCTAGTCAGAACCAGCTGGTTCGGACTCTACCCGCAGCGTGGCGG